CTTGGGGACACCTGGGACAGAGCAGCTCCTCGGCCCACCCAGCAGCACCCAAGCTGCTCTGCCCCAGGCGTCCTGATTAAGCCGCTGCTGAAACTGACCAGCGCTGACTACAGGAAGCCTGAGGCAGAGTTGCTCTGCCCCGGGCTTCCTGAAATCAGCTGCTGATCAGTTTCAGCAGCAGCTGACTTGGGGACTTGAGGTTCTTAAGTTGAATCTGTATGTAAGTCATAACTGGCGGTCAGTTTCAGCAGCGGCTGAATCTGGACGCCAGTTCCGACTTACATACAGATTCAACTTAAGAACAAACCTACAGTCCCTATCTTGTATGTAACCCGGGGACTGCCTATACTTCACATGTGTTTCTCAAGAATCTTTGCTGTCTTATGAAATACTATTTAATAATAAATATTACTGTAAGAATCCTGGACCAAATCCACTTACAAGTCAATGGAAGTTTCATCCATTTATGTGAAGTCCGAATTTGCCCCATTCTATGTTTTTGAACCTTTGACTGAAAAAGTAATAATTGGGCTTTAATTTCTCATTTGGATAGGTTTTGTAGTATTGTTACCAGAATTTTAAAAGTTGACATTCTGCTGCTTGCTTTGTGAGGAGAACTGCCAGATCTTAGATGTGGGAGGTGAACATTTGGAGGTACTGAGTAGATCCAGAGAGAGGATTTCAGAGACTGGACTAGAGTTAGAGATTTATTACCCACTTGTTCTCACTGTTGAAATATTTAAGTAAATCAGTTTTCTAGGTTGCAGAATGTCAGCATAGTTGTGTATAAACATCCCTTTATTAGAGAGATACTTTTAAGCACACATGCAGCGCATTTATTTCTCTATTTCTGATTTCTTCTTGTTGGGAATTTTTCTACAGATAAAATAACTGTTGGTAGCTATATGGGATATCTTCGAATCTTTAATCCTCACCCTGTTAAACCTGGAGATGGAATGAAAGCTGAAGATTTGCTCCTGGAAGTGCAACTGCGAGATCCAATACTCCAGGTGGAAGTAGGGAAATTTGTTTCGTAAGTAAACAGTCTATGTTGCTGATAATGATTATGCTAATTAGCACGCTTAAGGCTAATTTATCATAGAAGCTATCTTGTCTCCCTGAAGATCATCTGGATAAGTTTCGTGAAGTGCTTGGTGTTTAGGTGTGAGCCATCTCATTTGAATCAGCATATTCTTCTCGTCACTGCAGTGTTTTGACTCTTACAGCCATTTAAAAAAATCATGAACTCTGAATTATGCATTTCATTCATTTATTGACTTATATGGTGTAGAGAATAAATGGAAGAAATGTTTATGCTCCTTAAGGTGTTTTTTTGTTCACACTAAAATCCCCCAAATGTCGTCTTGGTTCTAAGGCTGCATGTAAACATTGCTTTGCTTCCTTAAAGTATGCATCATACATGTTGCTTTGCAGGCTGTTTTATTTATTATAAACCAGTTTAAGAATAATACCTATCTCTGTTCTCCACACTTTTATTTTTTTAAATTGTGTGCTGTGGAAGGTACATTATAAATACAGCAATGTCTCATGGTATGGGAATAAAACAAAGGTAAATAGTAAGACATTACTATTTTATAGTGCAAGAGCTCTTTGCAATAAAGGAGATTATGTAGTAAATGGATTATAGCACAGAATACAAAATATTGTGACTATCTTTGTATAATTAACTGATTCAGTCTGTTATTTCACAATTTGTATGAAACAGTTTAATATTATCCATCCCTACCATATAAAGCTCATCTAAAGTAACGATCACACGTTTCCCCCTACTTTTACTCTCACTAAAAATATTAGTATGAGCTTGTTAGATAACTGGATCAGACTGCATCAGAAAAAAAAGCTTGTTTCCTTCATGTGCTCATAATCTGCAAAATGTCTTTCTGGCATCTCCTGAGAACTTGACAATTATTAACTGTGAAATATAATTTCATTTATCTTAATCTTTGAAAGATAATTTAATAGCACAATATTTCATTTTGCTGGTACTAAACATTTGAGAATTTGGGGGTGTCATCGAAAGCCCAGAGAAGTCCAGTAGACAGCTTTACATTGACTTCAGTGTATCATAACCCCCAAAGCTATAGTTTCTGGAAACTCACTTGCAAATGTTCTCCTTTTTTTCCCCTCCTCATTGTCAGTGGTACTGAACTACTTCATCTGGCTGTACTGCACTGCAGAAAACTGTGTGTGTATGCTGTCTCAGGTAAAACAAAACTATCCAGAATAGCAGTCTATCTCTGTCTGTCGTCTTCTTTTGCTGTTGATCAGTTTATCTATCTGGCCTGACTAGGCATGTGTATTGAGAAGTTTTTCTAGGACTGACAGTGTAAAGTCACAATCAAGTATTTGAAGGATTCTCAAGCTGTTCCTATATTCTGGACTGATGTTTCTTCTCTTACTCAGGCTCTGTCCTCTTTTTGTAATATAGTAGCAATTATGTATAAATATACCCACAATTGTTCTGTGTCAAAACCCTAACAAGTTGTAGTTATGTAGGCTGAACTCTTCCGAGAAAGCACTAGTATTATCTCTCTAACATTCCAAGTTCCCTTTTTCTGGAAGAGTGATATTGTAGATCTACCTTGTGGAAGCAGTAGCTCTGTGGCTGAGCCAGTTGGCATGTTCTGACCTTTGTTACAAGATTTGCCTTCAGATAATTATTTTGGAGAGCATGTGGAAGATTAAAATTAAACTTGAGTATGGAGAAGCAGAAGTCAAGACAGTGGTTTATGCCAATAGAAGCTTCTTATGGTTCAACTCTGAAAATAGAAGCTTATGCTCAAAGTTCTAATGAACAAATTGTTGGCAAGAAGATGTCCTGTAATTAATAATTTTTTCAAAATTAGCTACATTTTTTTTTTTAGACATTAAATGTTTGTACTTGATTTGAAATAAGAAAATCATCTTTGCACGTAGCTCCGAGTTTTGGAGGGTAGCTCTGGGGCAGCCGGAACATGAGGCATCTACCTCATTGTTTAATATTTCTTTCATAGTTGCAAAAAATGAGTGAGTTTTCGAGATTTTTGAAATACTCCCCAACTTGTGGGCCAAAAGGATTCTACTTAATCTTGACCAGACTATATTAACAATTCACAAATGCTTACAGAAAGTTAGGTTTAATATTGTTCTTACTTATAGGTGGTCTGTGGCTGAACAAATGCTGGTGCACAGATTTTTTTTTTTTTATGATTAGAAATTTTGTGTGCTCTTTGATGTAGTAAGGCTGGGATCTCAGGCAGCTAACAGTATCATATGTAAGGGAAAGCTTTTCGAACTGCTGTCTAACAGTAGAAAAGCTGAAACCAGCAGTGGCTGGATTCAACTGAGATAATGCAGAATGGAATATAGGTGCTTCAAACAATGGTAAATCCCATTTCAAACTAGACTAGTCTTTACATTGTTGAGCATTGCATGAACTGCCGTTCTACACTTACTATTCTGATTCTTAAGATTTTTTTCCAAACTTTACAAGTATGATGTTGCAAATGTTAATTCCCAATGATACCAACCCAAACTTTTGCAGATATCTGAGACATAAATTATATATCTCTGAAATAACTTCAAGCTCCTGCAAGTAGATGCCTGTAGATATTCTCTTGGGGAAATTAACAAAATAGATATGACATCTGTAGTGTCCAGCACTACCCTAAGTTAGCACTTGGTTGACAAACTGATAATTATCCATTAGAAACAAACTGTAAAAACTGAGCCATGAGCTGATATGACCTGATTTAAGAATCTCTTTTTAAGGAGATTACAATATTTTGACTGAAACAGATTGTGAGTTATACTTTGTTTATTAGCTCCTAGAACTGCAGAATCGTAATGTAAAATACAGTAAAAGTCCAGTGGTCCGGCATCCAGTGGTCCGGCACTCCTGATGGTCCGGCACCATCTGGAACCCAGAAGTGCTCCGGGCAGCCGGCCAATTGGAGCTGCTCTGCCCCAGCTTCTCCTATTCAGCCGCTGCTGAAACTGACCAGCGGCTGACTCGGGGAAGCCGGGGGCAGAGCAGCTGGGGTGCTACCGGGTTGGTCCCGCAGTGCCGAGGGGTGCATCTCCCCCACTCCACCCCAGACGCCGCATAGCCCCCCCCTTCCTATAGTTCGGCATATCTGATCATCCAGCACCCCCTGGGTCCTAAAGGTGCCGGATTATTGGAAGTTTACTGTATTTATTTTCCCCTTTTTTGGGTGAGTACATATCTTTCTGATCAAATGGTTGAACCATATACAGTACTGTGTAAAGATGTGAAATTCCTTTACTCACAGAATCTTCTTCTGGGCAGGCACTGACTCTTACTTTGTTCAGACAGTGCTTAACATAATTGAACCCCATGCCTATTTTTGGCTAACTACTATGATTGATATTTTCTCAAGAAAGTGGAATTCATAGTCATTCCAAAGCACTAGATATGATCTCACCATATAATGTTTTAAAAAATATAAAAATCCTGTTTTTCTTTCATGTGAAATACAAGAATTTAAAAACTGGACACATATGTTCCTTGTGTTTTTCATAGGAACTTTGGGAAATGTGGAACATGGGAACCAGTATCAGATCAGACTAATGTATGAACACAATCTTCAACGAACAGCCTGCAACATGACTTATGGACCATTTGGTGGTGTGAAAGGTAGATTAATTAAGTGGATTTTAGCCTGTAGACTGAAGTTTATACACTGATCAAGAACAAAGTGTGTTTGTGGCATATGCAAGCTTTCCTACTTTCCTTGCTAACTGCAACATAGCCCTAATGTTCAGGGATATAAAAATAGCTAAGGCCCTACTTAAACTTTGGGATGATTGTCAAATAATTGTGGTTGAGATGTGACAAGACATGGAAAATTCTATATTAATTGTGGTAATTTGGAAAAGCCAGAGAAGATCTATTTAAGAGAATAATTCCTGGAACAATATAAACAATCAAGTATTATGCCTGCTATTTTTTTTTTTTGATGCCCGGACATTTTGCTGCAACAGTATTACAGTGATTAATAATGCCTGGTGCTCTGGCTGATAGTGGAACTCTCTCCCCCACACCTGGGAAGATGATTTAAAATTGTGGTGAAAGTTTAATATTGTGGGATCCACAATATCACTAATTTGAATAGCTCCTAAAGAACAGTTCATTTTGATGCCCATTCAATCCTGGGCCTATTCTGAAATTGCTAGTGAGCTTCTATTTTGGAAGTGTTTGAGATGCTATCATCTTTAGATTAATAGTTCAGATAACTATTAGGAAATATCATTTGTTTTGCATTCATTTTTAATATATCAATGAACTTAACATAGGAAAGTTAAATACAGACTATATTAGAATGATAACAATCAAGAATGCATCTACACAGCACCCTAAACTTGAAATAAAATATGCAGTTTTTATTACACAAATTGCATATCTTATTTCAAATCTATTTCAGAAGAGTTTATTTTGAGACTTGGCGTGTCTACACAGTTCCACATTTTGAAATAACACGCTATTTCGAGCCATCCTTTATCCCTTGTGCAACAAGGTTTACCGGGATGGCGAAATAGCGTGCCCGTTTATTCGAAAATATTTTGAAATAACAGACGGCTTAAGTAGATGTGGGTTAGCTATTTCAGGATATCTCCGGTATTCCGAAAACTGTGCAATGTAGACGTATCCAAGTGTTAACAATAGGATATTAGCTCATAAGGATAGTTATGTTAAAACTATATTAAACACATCTAAATACCCAAATTTCCTCTTGTAATCATTCAGCAATTGAAAATTCCTTTTTTAAAATACATTTAAGCTGTGTTGATGCATTTTGTTGAGACTGGACAGAGAAGTCCTCTTTATTCTCCAGACTGCGCTGTGTGTGTGTGTGGCTTCTCGCCCTTCTGTTCCATCTGCCCTATTAAATCTTGGTTAAGAGAGCCTATATAATGAGTTTCAACTATCTTTTGAAATGTTAAACTGTCATCTTGTTCAGTATATTAGTCTTCAAGCTAACTTCTGTGTCCACATTTTGAGTGCTTTACTTCTGTTATCCTGGAAACATTTTTTGCACATGCTTAATTTATGCACGTGTTTAAGTGTTTGCAGGTTTGGGGCCTTACTGAACTATTATTTTCTCAAGTCAATTTGACTATTTATGAAGTTACTACTACATTTTGAGTAGGGAGTATCAAAATCTATGGAGAAATATGAGTTTAACCACTGGAAGGCACCTATATTTTCCCCTGAATAAAAGATACTGTGCATTATGGGATAAAAATAAAGAGAACTGAAACAAAACAAATTGTGATGCCTAGCTTGAGGTTTTGTACATTAATTTTTTGAGCTGACTATTCAGCTTCTGGTTATCCATTCCATAACATAAAAATGCATAACATACATTAAAATACATTAAGGGCTGGCAAAGAAATATTCATGACTAAATATGAGTAGAATAGGCCCAAACCTCCCAGCTAAGGATGTTAAATATCGATTAATCAGCTAATCGAGTAGAATTTCCATCAACTACTTGACTAGTTGATAAGGGAGCAAATATCCCACTGCACCTCTCCCTTTTGAACTATACAAGAGTTGCCTGAGGCTCTTGTGCATTCCAAAGGGAGAGGAGCAGCAGTGGGGCCTGTATGAGCGGGACTGTTTCAATCCTCACTTGTGACATTTCCCCACTGCCTCCGCCTCCCTGCCACTTGCAGAGATGGTGCTGGGGGATGGGGATGGGGGAACGGACAACTTTTAAGCTGGCTTCCCCCAACACCAGGTTGTGGACCCCTCTTGCGATCTCTCTCTGATAAGCATTTGCTTATTGGGGAGTCGACTAGGCACTTACATCCCTACTCCCAACCCTTTTTCCTGAAGAATCAAAAAAGTGCCTTGTTGCATGTCTAGAAAGTCAACAAATCTGAGCTCTGCTCAAACAAGTTAAAGTGTATGTTTCAAAGTGGAAGACCCTGCCAGCCACTTTGTCTCTTTTAGTGTGGAACTCTGAGTCAAACTCCTCAAGTGATGGCAGTTGTGGTAGTGTGATACAATTTGAGATTGCCTCTCTCTTTAACAGCCTTAGATGATTTGAAATCATTATACTGTGAATTAATTTCCAGTAGGAATAAATTATATTGGCATAATGCGTTGCCAGCGTGAAACTGTGTAATAAGTGGACCACCACATTTTGTGTGAATTTAACTTTCTGCATGTCCTCCAGGTGTTCTCTCAAAGAACACTTAACAGCAAAATGTCTCAAAGTGACAAAGATACAGATAAACGTAGTAAGGTCCACATCAGAGACCTAGCCCTACTCTGGTCATGTGAGCTACCCCTCCTCATCCCTTCATCTAGCACCTCCCTCGCCTCTCTCCTCTGGTGCTGGTCCCTCCCCTGCAGGTGTCTGCCCTTCTGCTTCACCCCCAGAATCCCCTGGCACCTACACCTTCCCTTACCCCTGCACCCTCCTGGTGCCTCCCCCTTCCCTCACTGCCCCTGCCCCCTTTGCCCTTTTTTCCCTGATGCCTATCCCCTCTGCCCCATTCCCCTCATGCCCCTGTGCCCTCACCCATGACTTGCTCCAACCCCACCTTCCTCATGCCTACCCCTTCTGTCAAGCCTTCTCCCAGCACCTCCCCCCTCCAATTCTCAATGCCCTTACCCTCTCCTCTTTCAGCATCACCCTGTCCCCCCTCCCACTGACACCTCCCCTCCTGCCCTTTTCCTCATTGTTTCCACTTCCCCCCTAGCATTTGTGTCTCCTCTACCCTGTCCCTTTGGTGCCTTCCCCTTTCTTCCTCCTCCCCCACCGCAAAAGCCCCTTCCTCTCCCACTCCTTCCTCTTATTCCCCCCGCCTTTACCTTCAGCTTCTGCCTTACAGCTTGCAGGGCTGGAGTCAGAGCCAGTCCAAGCTGCAGGAATGAGCAGGGGTGCCTCCAGGGTGCCGTATGGTGCTGCAGGGCCGGGCGGGGGCGCCCCCGGGGCAACGTGTGGTGCTGCAAGGCGGGGCGCTGCTCAGTGCTGCCGGGCCGGGCGCCTCAAGGGCGCCATGCCATTTGGCCAGGCGGAGGTATTCCCGGGCGCCTCAGGGGCGTTACACCATGCTGCTGGGCCGTGCGGTGTTGGTGGGCTGGGTGGGACCCGGGGTGCAAAAATGGCTCGGGCTAGCTGGCCCGAGACATTAGGGTGTGCCTGGGCATACCCGGCACACCCCATGCACATGCCTATGATTGTAGCACTGGATTATTTATTGTATTGATCTGGTTTGGTAAGATATGCTGGAGAAGTATTACACTGAACACAGTACAGCCCCTATCTCTTTACTAATGCTATTAACCCACCAATTCCATTTGTATATGAGGCTAAGATGGGGGGGACTCTTTTTGTCGGAGAGAACTCGTGGGCAATATTTCCTCTATCCCAAAACTATTCTCTAGATATAAGAATGGAGTAATTCAACAGGAACTTTATCCATTTGTACCAGGATTTACTAGAGTGAACAGAACCTTAGGATTGGTATCAGAAGCTACTGACTAATCTAAAAGGGCATGTCTAAACTACATCCCTCTTTCGAAAGGGGGATGTAAATTAGACAGGTCAAAATTGCAAATGAAGCTAGAATTTGAATTTCCTGCGCTTCATTTGCATAATGCCAGCTGCGCGTTTTTTTGAAAATGGGGATTTTCTTTTTCTAAAGAACCATGTCTAGACAGCAGTTTCACTTTCGAAATCCCAGTTTTTGAAAGAACACGCATCTGCCATTATGCAAATGAAGTACGGGAAATTCAAATCCTGGCTTCATTTGCAATTTTGATCGGTCTAATTTACATCCCTCTTTCGAAGAGGGATGTAGTTTAGACATAGCCCAAGTGTCTCCAAGGGCAAGTTTTGTCTTTATTCATTTCTCAAAGGAATGAATCAATTAATGCAACCACCCTAGTTTGTCTCCTATCCAGAGCTGAAGCCCAGATAATCAAGCTGTAGACAGGGATGGTTAATCATTAGTTTAATAAGGCTATAGGGTTAGCCCCTTCTATTGTTTATGCCCTCCTGGTCAGGCAGGGCTGGGACCAGGTGATGGAGAGAGAGCGACAGGGTTACAGGAGGCAGAAGTGCTGAGTGAGCCTACAGCTGGATGGAGCAGCTTAGGAGGGAGGGTGGAGTGGGGCAGGGTCTGGGAGAAGAGATTTTGACACAAGAATAAATTTTGATACTTTCTACTTTTTCACACCTGAATAGGATAATCAGAATCTCATTTACTTTCCTCCTGACTCTAAGGGAAAAGTGTCTGTCTGCCTGATCCTCCAATCTCTACCCCAGCCGGTCTTGATGGTTCTTTTGAGATGTTGATTTTCCATTAAGTCTTCTTGTTTGTGGGGTGAGGGGGGGGGCGGGGAATGAGGACAGAGAATCCAACAGGGAGGAAATAGCTCTGTTTTGTCCTAGTCATTCAAAAGCTTAAAGGCTTTAGATTAAGTTTAATGTTTGTACACTCATTTTGAAGAGCTAACATAGTACAAAAATACTGGGCAGTCATCTGATCTGTGTTACTTCTAGCTACCAGCTTTTCTTACAGAAAGCTTTAAAACAACAAATGCAGACAATAGGTGGTGCACTGCATACAGGACTCATGCTTAAACCACATGTCATGTGAGAGCTGCTTATCTCATAG